TGATAATTATTCATCAACGTCATTTCTCATGGCTACCTATTATTCCACTATGAGTGGGCCATAATTTTTGTAACTGATCCCATGTTCTTAGATACTTCAAACCACCTGATGGGTTTTAATGTGCCAGATCTCAGGGAGAAATACGTACAGCAGACGCCCACTGAGCAAGGAGTTTGTTTGGTCGAGTGTGTTCCTCACAGAAGGCCATCTTTTCCTCTGCAGCCCTGTTTGTACCATTGTGCAGCCAGTTCACTGTCAGGGTAGGTAGGTGAGTTCATTGTGGGGGTCACCACTTTGTTGGGAAGAGAAGGAACTGGTGGTCCCCAAAGAGGTTCATTTCCTACTTCAGTCCCGGACCTTAAAGCACCTTTGCTTTTTGGAAGGATCAGGAAGACCTGCTCTGTTTTCTTATTCTACCAGTATCGTAGGACCTCAGACTCGATGGCAGGAAAGTCTCTGTTCTGTAGTTGGCCCCGCTGGGTTTTGCCATGTTTGCAAAGCCATTATTTCTGGGGAGAATGACAGTGAGTGACAGAGTTGGGGCAAGCTGAAGGCTCTGGAGGACTAGCCTTGAATAAGGAGTTTCGTCAGAAGCTTTTGATTGTTATTTCCACATGCACAAACTCTGCGTTAGCTTAAAACAGGAGTTCTCATCCTACCAGATCCAGCACCCCTCTTACTAACCAGGATTTTGTGGTACTCCCAAACTATCCTGAAGTAAAAGTCAAATATAATACAACCTTTCTACATATATAATTTAAAATATGTGTATCAGGTATCCTAACTGTAATATAAAGGAGAAACAAAAGGAAACTAATTTATTATATAGTTCTGTGTACCTCACCATAAATGCTTGAGCAAACCTACAGTAGAAAAGAGAGTGACGTAATCAGTTGCACACACTTAAACGTAGATTAGTAACTGTGACAACTGAAATACAGACTGATTGAGGGACGTTGTATTGGTGACTCTAACACCACGTTGGGACGTGATTTTTTTTTGACAAGTTCTGATCAAAATACAGATGTCTCTCAGTTGATATCACATTTCTGGAAAATTCAGTGGATATTAATATTACGCAAAAATGGTTTTGTGTCTATAGACACAAAAACAGGTTCTAGGCTAAAATATTTAAAAAGGTTTTTCATGTGTGTGCATATCTTGTGGTACATTCAGAAGTTATGTGGGACAAAGAACAGTTCCTTATGGAGACTGTCCAGAACTCTGGCAGTCACCCACTAGGTGTCAGGAATGTTCCTCCACATACTGTTGTGACAGCCCAACCTCCGAACAGTCCCTGAGGCCCGAGCCATGTTTGCTGAGAACCACTGTTTAGATTCCTCAGTTGCAAGTAACAAAAACCAACCCGAGCAAAAAGGGACATTTGTTATATAAGAATTCAGAGTGACTCACAGGCTCTAAGAATGTGACCAGGCCTCCGGAGACTAGAACCAGGAAAAAAAAAAAAACTATCTGTCTCTGCCTCTACGGTTTCTATGGTTTGGCTGTGCGTCTGTTAACAGAGTGACAGTCATAGCCACACTCAGAGATGAACTAGCAAGGCCGAATTCTTGAGAGAGAATCTGACGGTGTCCTTGAAGATCAGTGTCCATCACTTAGCTAAGCTGTCAGCGGGGGCCATGGGAGTGTGCACTGAGAGTGGGGGTGCAGCCTCTGAGTCCAGGGGCTGTTGTTCCCTGAGAACAGTGGGGAAGGGGAGGCTCAGACACTTAGCAACAATCATTCATTCTGACCTTTCCTCTCAGTTGATTTATCATCATCGTCATCTTCCAAATGAGTATCACTCTAGAAATCATTTTTGTAGTATTGTTTGCTCCCGTTCCCTTATTCTTTTTTAATGGCCACTTGTATCTTCTATTTTAAATTCCAATATATTAAATTATAATAATCATTTATAACTGGCACACTTTGGCATCTCACAGTAACTACACGATAGCAGGTTGATCATTAGTGCCTACTCTGTTCAGGATGCTTTGGCAGCGGTTGAGTGTCGGGGAGGGCATGGCGGGATGAATAAGATGCTTCCCGGCCTGTCCTGAAGGAGCCCCCAGCTGCAGTGGGACAGTGCACGTGGGAACAACTAACTGTCCTGCTGCGGACTGCAGGCTCTTGTAGAATAAGCGCAGGCTTTGGAATACACAGACCTGTAAAATGGGACTAATGACATCTTCCCAGCGGGGCTGGTGGTGACTTAAGTTAGATAGCATGTGGGAAGTGCCTAGCACCGTGCTAGCATATGCTAGGCTCAGTGAATGCAGCTAATGTCCTAGAGGTCCGGTGACATATGGGAACAGGAAGGAATTAATTTGACCTGGAGGAAGAAGAAGGATGACTCTACCAGATAAGAGAGTATTGGAGCAAGATGCTGGACGAGGGTTTCTCTGGGCAGAGGAAGGCAAAGGGTATAAACAGAGTCAGGAAGATGCAGGCTGTGTTTGGAGCATATAAGAATCCTTAAGTGGCTAGAACTTAGTATTTCCACATGGAAATGTAGGGAGAAGGTGCTGTGAGGTGGGACCAAGAGCCCAGGTTGGGGCCGTGCGGGGGCTTGAGTTCTACTACTTCTCAGTTATGAATGGCTCAAGGCCTCAGTTCCCTCATCTGTGAAAAAAGGGAAATATGCCTTCTTTATTGGGTTTTTGTGAGGGTTAAAGGAGAAGGGTCTGGCACACAGTAGGCACTCCAACGTTAATATGCGTAGCCTAAGCAAACAAGGTAGGCACGGATGAGCTGGGCCAGATACAGATTCTTAATGTTCGTCACTCATGGTTTGCCTCATTTTGCAAATCATTGTGAACATGGCTAAGGCTTGTCCTAGCCCAGATCCCTGAGGGAATTCTGCTCTCAATCAATACTCTTCATTCAGAGTAGGACATCCTTCGTAGTTTTTTTTTTTCTGATTTATTCCCCAGCTTGGGCCAACACAGTTCCCTCTGTCTCATGCATTTCAGCCTTAAGTTGTCTCCTCTTTGCGGTGGAGCTGTTCAAACCACTGGGGCATCTGAATAAATTATAGTACTAGTCACAGAGTCTGTATATGGTTTACGCTCTCAGATAATATGTATTTGTTACTGAAATTGCATCCCCTTACATCCCGTTGGCTGGAGGATGAGCTTGTTTTTAATCTTGAATTGTCTTCTGCTTAAAGATCAGGCTTTTCCCCGCCCCCAAGACAATTTGTTACTATACTGTGGTAGTTAGTTCAACACTAAAAAAACCTAAAAGGTAAACTTGGAATTCTTGCTCCTGCAGGCTGTGTTTGGAGCATATAAGAATCCCTAACATGCAGGCTGTGTTTGGAGCATATTCCATCCACCCCATTTCTGTGCCCCGTCATCTCCAGGTAACCGTTGAGAGTAGTTTCTTGTGCACCCTTGCAGAGTTCCTTTATGCAAAACACAGGCACCTGCAAATACAGTCTTATCCCCCACCCTTTTTATGTAAAAGCATAATAAACATACTGTTTTGCACTTTGCTTCCTCCCCACTCCCCCCCAAATAGTCTATCTGGGCATCTGGGAGATCGTTCCGTGTTCGTACAGAGAGAGCATCCTTGTTGATGAGGCAGGATTAGGCAGAATGCACCTAGAAGGTTAGCAGAGATCCTTCGGTTGAGAAAGTCGGGAAGATGGGGTGAAGGAGGGAGCTTCGCAGCAGTGAGAGGACTAAGCAGCCAGCAAGCAACTTTATCTCTTTACCTGAGTGAGTTACCTTAGCTCTCCTTGCACACTGAGGAATGTTGGGTGTGTCCCTAGACAGAGACAAAGGTCTCCTTAGGCCCATGCCAGTCACAGCCTAGGCAGCCACCCTTCAGTGGGGTGATTCCTACCTCATGAGGCCCACCAGTCACAAGGCCTCCCCGGGGAAGGGGCCAGTCAAGAGAGCAGGAGTGAAGCAGATAAGATAGTCCTTATGCTCCCCAAGAAGGCCGTGGGTCCAGAGGACAGGGCCCACTCTGCTCATCCATTCACAGAGAACCCCACGGAGCTCCCTTCATAAGTTGACGTGAACCCATTTTTGCAGACTTCACACAGTGGCTCAATTACATACCTGGCACGAATCTAAGGCATTCCAGAATTGGGCACTGACCCTTTGCTATTCCTTTGGCTAAGCTGATTGTCAGGAAAGCTTGTGTCACTCTGTTTCAGGAGTTGTGCAGCATTTGCAGAATGGCCAGCTGCTGAGGGACATCTATCTAAAGAAACACAAACTCCTACCAAATGACTGGTCCGCAGACCAGCTTTACTTAGAGACCACTGGGAAAAGCCGGACACTACAAAGTGGGCTGGCCCTGCTTTACGGCTTTCTCCCAGATTTTGACTGGAAGAAGATTTATTTCAGGCACCAGCCCAGTGCTCTGTTCTGCTCTGGAAACTGCTATTGCCCAGTGAGAAACCAGTATCTGGAAAAGGAGCAGCGTCGGCAGTACCTCTTACGTTTGAAAAACAGCCAGCTGGAGAGGGCCTACGGGGAGATGGCCAAGATCGTGGACATCCCCACCAAGCAGCTGCGAGCCGCCAACCCCGTAGACTCCATGCTTTGCCACTTCTGCCACAACGTCAGCTTCCCTTGCACCAGGAACGGCTGTATCGGCATGGAGCACTTCAAGGTGATCAAGACGCATCAGATAGAGGATGAGCGAGAGAGGCGGGAGAAGAAACTGTATCTGGGCTACGCACTCCTGGGTGCCCACCCCATCCTGAACCAGACCATCAGCCGGATGCAGCGTGCCGCCGAGGGCAGGAAAGAAGAGATCTTTGCCCTCTATTCTGCTCACGATGTCACTCTGTCACCACTTCTCAGTGCCTTGGGCCTGACAGAAGCCAGGTTCCCAAGGTTTGCAGCCAGGTTGATCTTTGAGCTCTGGCAAGACAGAGAAAAGCCCAGTGAGCATTCTGTCCGGATCCTTTACAACGGTGTCGATGTCACATTCCACACCTCTTTTTGCCAGGACCACCATAAGCGTTCTCCCAAGCCCATGTGCCCCCTCGAAAACTTAGTCCGCTTTGTCAAAAGGGACATGTTTGTGGCCCTGGGTAGTAGTAGTACTAATTATTACGATGCATGTCACAGGGAAGGGTTCTGAAAGGTACACAGTACAGTACATATAGAATCTATGCCAATAAAGAGATGGGACAGGTACGCTTCTAGTTCTATCCTTTGCTAAGGGTACAAGATTATTTATTTCGAAAGGCTAGAAATTGTGCTTGGGAGCCACACAGATGGTTTGGGTTGAACAGTGAGTACGTTGCTATATTCAGGTACATGAGTTACTTGATACACAATGGCTAGTTCACAGAGAAAGGAAGGTACTTTATCATAGCCAGACTTTGCTTACAATGCCAGAATATTTTAATACCTAGAGTTGCCAATCCAAATGTGTATTCCTTTGATCTGCCACGGTACCGTATGATGGAATTAGCAAATCTCAGCCAAATTTTTTTTAATCTGGGACCGTCTTACCTTATCCTTATTCCCCGAAAAATTTCCTGTAGTAGTTTATCTAAAATAGGGCTTGGCAAACTTTTTCTGTAAAGGGCCAGATAGTAAATGTTGTGGACTTTGCGGACCAAAAGGCCACACACAGCCTCTGTCACAGCTATTCAGTTCTGCTCTTGTCACGTGAAAGCAACCACAGACAATACATAATAGAATGAGTGTGGCTGTGCGCACAGGCTGCACAAAGCAGTGGGTCACATTTGGCCCCCAGACTGTAGTGTGCTGACCCCCGATTTAAAACACAGGCTTGACTACAATCGCACTTTTAGCACTTTGAGAACCTGTTGAATACCAAGAATTATTCAGTGGTGCCTCCAGTAACTTCTGCTAGAAACACAGAGTTTAGTCTGTATCTGACATTATAACAAAACAAAGGGAAATAAACATTGACTGAGAATGAATCACAGAAAGATTATTAGAATAATACTTGATGTTTATGATGATTGTGGTATAAGATAGTTTTAAGTATGTTTTAAATATTTGTTTGCTGTAGTCTATTTGCTGTATATTCTGAAACTTTTGTATTCCATTTAGTATTTTTATAGTCTAGGAAAATATTTTCTGAGACCAGTTTTAGATGTGCTCTTACTCCTATGTAATATTCAATTTACTATACCTGGATGGTGTTTAGAAGGGAGCCAGAAGCTGAATTCAGGCACTTTCTTCCAATAAAAGTAATTATGGCTCATTTCCTTTGATAAGCCATAGAATTGGATCAATTTTTAAACCATTTTTGTCCATTTCAAAAGGTAAATTCTAATTGATTTTTAAATAAGTTTTTGGAATAACTTTGTTACTAGATAGTTACATAATCTTTATAAGGTATTTTATATATTAGAAGCAATTATAGTGAAATCTGTGGTTCCTGAACTAATGGTGCTAGTTCTGTGCGAAGAAATGTCACGTGGAAGCGAGATTCTCCAGTGTCATTGGTATTCTGATCTTTTCTCTTTGTTTTTGTCCAGTGTTACATTTAAATATGTCTGTTTCTATTAATAAATTTTGAAGAATACTAGTATAGACCACTAACAGTTTATGTCACTCTAGTTCTTTTCAAGTGAGTGCCAATATTTTTTACATTTGTCCTTTTTTTGTATAAATAAAAACGTTTTAAATTAGAAAACTCTACCCTATGTGTGGGGAAGGGGGACCAGGCCCTATGGCCCCGCAGGGATGACAGAAGGGGACTGACGTCCTGCTTCCTTCTCTGACAGCGGCATCAGAGCTTGGTGGGCCCAGAGGACAGGTCACAGCTGGTAGCCTTGGACTAGGTTCAAATTCATCTTAACTGCTTCTTTTGCTGACAATCATGTGTTATCTCTCGAGTATATGCCTAATTAGTTTTCTTGCTCCCACTCACAATATCTGAATGAGAACTGCTAAACACAGTTTGAAGATTTAAGAACAAAAGTGAATCAGAAGATGCTTTAAAAATCAATTCGCAGCACCTGTTGGTAAAGGTAAATATTTTTGGATGAGAGCCAACATTAAAAGTGTAGATACAAGTTTTGCCCCTGTGATGAGAAAAACAACTTTTGAGGAAAACAGCTTTGTTTTTCTGAATTGCTGCTTAGGCATTCATTTTGCAGTATGACCACCCTGCTCACATCCAGAGCCTGGACATTTAGATAAGAACTTGCATTTAGGATGCCCACCCTAAGTTTCTGCTTCGCTTTTCCCAGGCACTCTTTAAAATAACTGCTTAGAGTTAAGCCTGCAAAAAGTTAGTGACCTCTGCCCCATCTACCTTATCAGTAATAGATGCTCACTGCCCGCCTCTCTGCCCTGCTCGCTCATGACCCCAGGTGGATGACTGCCCTCCCCCCGGCTCAATTGCGCTCCCCACCCCCAATCTGGGATCTGTAAGTAATAAATCTTGTGACTACTTCCTTTGTGTGGATGTATTGAAACTGTGTCTTCTTTGAAAATGACCCATGGGTGGGTTTCACTTCCCCATAGTGGGGGCTCAAATGTAGAAAAAGCTACCTGCCGCCTCTGTGTGGGTGGCTTCTTCATTCAGCAGATCATAATCTGCTATTTTTTTCCCCAGACTTTTAAAAATTTATTTAATTATAGTTGGTATACAATATTAGTTTCAGGTGTATGACAGTGATTAGACATTTATATACTATTCTTAATTTAATACAGTAGCTCTAGCTTCTCAACACAGCCTCCCAAGACATTGGGAATGCATGGCATTAAAATATCTTCCTCAGTATCAGGTTCTAAGACATCTAATTCCATAAATAAACAAACACCGAGCACTGAGCTGAGGTGAATGGATTTAGTCCTTGGTGTCAGGGCAGTGGTCTTAATGGCTCAGTTTATGGCAGGTGTGAATGTACACGTGTATATTCAGCTTTCTTGTTTTTATATTTTAAATGAATACAGGCACACTGGAAAACAAACAATACTGAAAACAACTTCAAAAGTGAAGTTCTCTGTCCCATCTCCAGAGAAAACAGTGTGAGCCTTTCGACAGATACTCTTACAGAAATTTTCCATATAGATGCAGAAATATATGTAATTTTTAATAAGAACAAAATTATATATATTGTTCTGTGGCCTGCTTCCCGTAAAAAATATTTTTTATACATTTGTTTCTTTTAACGACGTGTCTAAGACATGTTTCTCATTAACTTGCTTTCCTTAATATGTCTGCGATAGGTAGGTAGATAGATGATTGATAGATGATAGGTAGGTAGGTAGAGATCTTTTTATAGCCACTGCATAATATTTCATGATATAAATGAAACATTTTTAAAATCTCATGAAAAATGAATGAAATTAAAACTTAAAACTAAGGCACTAAAACAGGACTGCAAGACTTTTAACAGAACAAAACAGAGGCCTGCAAATGTATGTGCTGACTTTCTAGCTCAGCTGTGTAGTTAACCTTTTTTCAGTGTAGCTACTGGTATTAATATGAGTGGTGTGTTCTTTCTCTAATTTCACTTGTAAACAGAACTGAAGAACTTAATCTACTATTGCTATTAAGCCATTTCGAGGGTCTTCACAGCTATAGCAGAATTTAGACTTGAAAGATTTGAGTGATTCCTTTTCTAGAGCTTGTAAATAACTGATACAGGTGAGGCCGGGATGCAGGCTTGTTTCTCTGAATCGTCAGGAAACCTTCAGAACAGATTTAGCAGCCCAGGCTAAATCTGGTGGGTGTGTCCTAGTGTTTAAAACAATCACAAGTAGAAAGTGGAAAACAGCTGGGGTTTACACTGCAGTTCTGGCTTTGATCGTGTCTGGCACAGAGTTCTGGCCTGGGCATCAGTTAGTTCCCATTGCTTAAGGCCACTGGCATCAGTTAGTTCCCATTGCTTAAGGCCACTGACCTGAGTGTTGGGGTTGTATCCCTGCATAGTACCTTCCCAATGGCCAGCTCAGATGAGTACTAATAGCTTCTGCTTAAGAGAAACCAGCTGAATTCAAAGAGTGGCTGGTCAGGCCTTCCTGGCCTCTGAAGCTCACCTGCCAGCTGAGACTGCCTTGATGAGGAGAAGGTAACCCTGAGGGGCCAGCATAGCTTTTTCAGAGCTGCAGAGCCCCTCAGCAGAGGGACGGCCTTGGGCCTGGCTTCTGGATAACATTGTTGGCAGTAAAGACACCATTTTGGGGGTCATGCTTCCCTCCAGGCCTCAACAACTTTCTGATACCAAAAAAAAAAGCCAACTCCTAATACAAATGAGGAAATAGGGTCGTGGTAGTGAAGGGGGTGCTGCGGGGTGGTGAAGTCACTTTTCCAAAGGAAGAGTCAAAGCCCAGAGTGTAACCCAAGTTTACATGACACCAGTGAACTTTACAGCGCACGTACTGTGTAAAACATCTTGAAAAGGCTTTACCTACACTAATCTTCCCAGCAGCCCTACAAGATATCATATTTGCTGGTGAATATCAATGAATACTAAAACATAGTGGGGTAACAACAGTAATAACTTAAATCTAAATGGTTAGGACAATATTCTAACTCTGCGTCTTACCATCTATGGTTTTTGTTAATAAAAACTCATAATGTAAAAATAATCTTTGCAGTGATGTTATGTTATATCTAGCCACTAGGGGACAGCACCAGACAATTTTTTAGCGTTCAGGATCCAAACTTCCATTTGTAAAGGAGGTATAGAAGTTTTGCAATGTGTTTTAATAGGGTGACCATCCTGGTTTGCCTAAGACTGAGGGGTTTCCCAGGACAAGGGACTTGCAGTGCTAAAACAGGGCAAGTCCCAAGCAAACTGAGACGAGTCGATGACCATAGTGTTTATTATATGTTGAGATATGCATTAGATGCTACTGTTATTCTTTATAGAAATGGAGTAGTGTGATGAAGTGGCTCATCTGAGTTTTCACATAGCTAGCTAGTATGCAGCAGAGCTGGGACTCAAAACTGTTGTCCATCAACTCAAAGGACCATGTTCTTAAACAGAATATGATGCTTCTCTGAGCCATTTGGTACTGTTTAGTAACATGCAACAGAAACCTGATTACAGTGGTTAAGCAAATAAAGCCTTTCATTTTCTCCAGTGGCTCCACCATGTCATCAGGAGCCCAGACTGCTATTTAAATCTCACTGGCCAGAATGGGGTCCCTTGGCCCAACTCTACTGCAAAGGAGTCTGGGAAAGTGAGTATTTTTATTGGGCACATTGCTCTCTCTAGTAAATCAGGCACCTCTTAGTAAGGAAGAAAGGGAACGTGGATACTGGGCAGAGAACTAGCAGTGACTGCCACATTCTCCAAAGCCACGCATTAGAACTGAAGGTGTGGTGGGTGCCGTACCACCCAAATCCCCCGCTTCAGGACTTCTTTCCCTCATGGCTGGGAGTGTGCAGGCTGGCAGTGCCTCCTTTCCAGGGCAGCCACATTCAACGACTGAGCAGGGCAGGGATTCAAAGCCCTGGAGACACCTCTGAAGGGCCATCCCAGCTTCCACACTCCCCACAGGGTCAGTTAAGTCCTCGTGACTGCATTGCAGCCCACATCAGCCTTACCCTGTTTCTTTCCCTTCCCTCACAGTGTTGACCCCAACAACACTCTCCAATAAACTTCCTGCAGACATCTGTCTCAGAGCCTGCTTCCTGGGAACCTGCCTGCAATAGAAGGCAAACAAATCCTAGGGGCTAAGGCCTTTGCTAGTCTAGGAAATAAAGCTGGAATCAATTATTTGAAAGGAATAATGTATCTATTGATGACAAAATTCTTTTATCACTGCCTTTGAGAGGCTTACCATTTTATTATGGAAGATAACTAAGCACATAGGAAGCAAAAGGAGAGATTTTATCCTGGACAGTCCTGAGCTAATGACAGGGGGCTTTTCCACCAAGACTTACCATTTATTGTTAAGCTGAGCACTCAACTGACATAGAGTCTATGTCTCACAGTATGAGTAGGCATTTATTATTTCCACTCTACGGATAAGGACAATTAGGTTCAGAGATAGACATCTATCTGCCCAGGATCACACAGTCAGTAGTAAATGGCAGACTGAAGACTGGAATGTGGATCATCTTAGACTACAAGGCTCTCCCAGGTCCCTTAGCATACCACTTCCTCTACACCATTACTCCATTACTGTCATACAGTGGAATAAGTAAAACATGAAACTTAGGGTATAGCTAAGAATCTCTACCCTACTCCAGGGAATGATCTTGCATTTCTGTTAGGATATTCATGTTTCTAGCTCCTTTTGTTTCTCTTTTCCCACTTTTTTTTCCCTATGGAAGCATTTCCAAGAAAGTAGGATCATCTTAGAATGGGTTGTTTTAGCCTGGGTTCCTCTGAAAACAGAATCTGAGAAAACAACTTAAGTGTGGGTGTTTATTAGGGAATGTGGTCCCAAGGAGCAGGAGTGAAGGATGACAGGGAAGAATAATGGAAGAGGGAAAGCCAAAATGAGCGTGCATGCTGAGCCGACCATGGTGACTGGGTGCTCTAGCCCACGGGATCTCTTGAGAAGCTTTATGAAATACGTCTCCAAACTGTTTGCATTTCTCCTTTGGTTCCCACCCACAGCTGCCTCCCTTGTGCTTCTGGATTGAACATGCGTGAATGCCAGGCAGGTTCACCTGGGCCCTCTGGCAACCAAGAAGCCCTAGGGCAGGAAGCAAGAAAATGATATGCTGTTAGATAAAAGCCTGCATGGACCTGCTCACCACGACAGTGGCTGGGAAAGGACAGGAGGCCGAGAGGACTGGAAGGAGAGCAACAGATGTGTTTGATGTGAGGATGAGCTAGCATTCACTAAGCACTCTCATGTGCCAAGCACTGTGCTGTGCTTTATAGCCATAACCTTGCTTCATCCTCACAGCATCCCTGTGGCTTAGAAGTCCTCATTATCATCCCTCATTTTTAAGATGGAGGAAGAAACTAAAAGGAGAGGTCATTTTCCCAGGCCTCGGAGCTGGGAAATGGCAGAACTGGGAGTCAAATCAGCCAGACAGCTGAGCCCTCACTCATAATGACACGTTCCTAGACCCCCAGTGGATGCCCAAAACCACAGAGCGTACCGAACCCTATGTAGTGTAAGTTTTTTCCTATGCATACATACCTATGATAAAGTTTAATTTATAAATTAGGCACAGTAAGAGATTAACAATAACTAATAATAAAATAGAACAATTATGACAATATACTGTAATAAAAGTTATGTGAATGTGGTCTCTCAAAAATTCAATTTTTAAAAAATTTCCACCCACGAGTTTAATGTATTGTCTATCTTAATGAAGCACCTGTAGCCATAACTTTAAGTTTGAGATGCGACACCAAAACTAACACAAATTTCTTTTTCCTTCTTCACAATTTCAAAGAAGATTTGTTTTTATCATAAGATCTCAGCAACCTCAGCATACAATTTTTTTTCTTTCTTTATTAAGTCAAGAACTTTCACCTTTTCACTTGAAGTGCTTTGTGGCTTTTCTTTGGCATGTTCAAATTGCCAGCACCACTACTCTTGTGCGTTGGGGTCATTATTAAATAAATTGAGGGTTACTTGAACATTAGTACTGAAATACCACAGGAGTCAATCTGATATCCAAGATGGCGACTAAGTGATTAACAGGCAGGTAGCATTTCCAGCGTGGATATGCTGGACAAAGGGACGGTTTATGTCCTGAGCAGGATGGAACAGGGCAGCACGAGATTTCATCACACTACTCAGAACGGTGCACAATTTAAAACCTTTAAATTCTTTATTTCTGGAATTTTCCATTTCATATTTTTGGACCTTGGTTGACCATGGGTAACTGAAACTGTGGAAAGTGAAACTGGAGATAAGGAGGAAGCATTATAGCAAACATTTCTCATGGGGCCCAAATGAAGTATGTACGAGGGCTTACTAGCACATACTAAATACATACTCAGTATTTTTCTCCAGCATATGTAGATTGTACATTCGTGTCAGCACAAATCAAACCATGCTGCTCCTTGTTAAAAACACTTAGCCCTCCCCCACCTTCTAGAGAAAATCCAAGTCCCTAAGGCGACTCACAAGGCCCTTCATGGCCTGGCTCCCACGTACCCATTCAGCTTTATTCCTCGCAGTAGTACAGGCTGAAGGGTTTGTGCATAAACTGCAGTTGCTGATGCATTTCTTGCATGCCTGGGAGAGAGAAATAGGGGTGTCAGTGTCATCATGTGACATGTCTGTTTTGGTTTGCAGCATCTCTTAAAGGGGGCAGTAGTGGCCAGACCTCCTGGCAAATCTTCCTCAGGACCCAGTAACCTCCCAGTCCTTCGCCCTCCTCCCTTTCCTCATTTGTGTCTGGAGTGTGATATCCCAGAAAAGAAAGAACTTTGGAACCATACAGACCTAGTTCAAGTCCAGTTTTGTACCACTTCCCAGCTTGAGAACTCAAGCATGATATCTAGCTTCTCTGGGTCTCAGATTCCTCATCTGTAAACCAAGAATGACACCTCCTACAAGAGAGTGTACCTAAAGCGCCAGGCACATGGGGTTCTTATACAATGGCAGCAGTCATTACTGCCCCCAAGTTATTCTTTTAACTGCTCTGAATCACAAAATCCAGCTGGAACCAGAATATGTCCCTGCCCATTTTCTTAAGCCAGGAAGCCCACCTGGAGGCCTAGCATCATGCTCTAGGCATAACTGAGAGATACAACTCTCTGGGCCCACACATTTCCCTTTGTGGGGACGGGGAGGCGGGGAGAACTTGACTTTTCTGACTCCTGCCTTTGTACCCAGTGCAGTGTTTGACAGCTTATGGACACACATCTCAGTTATTCCCCAGGGTATACTAAGCTCACTGCTTGTCCTTTCCCCCTGTTTCCTTTATTGTATATACCTAATCTCCATCCTCCTGCTGTAGTTAGAGCTGCTATACATTTCAGAAGCAGCAGCTGACCGCAGAGTTAAGCAAAAGAATGAGAGTCTGGAGGCTTTAGGCCATTGGTCTGGTTCTTCCTGGGCCCTCAGAAATGCTGAAGGACAAATAGCCTGGGAGATGACATGCACCTAAACTGAAGACGGATCCTGCCCTCCCTGCCTCCGCTCTAGGGATCTGTTCCCCTCGGTGTTCTTGTGGCAGACTGTGAGGCGCTCGCCACTCCACTCTTCCTCCTTCCCTTGGCAGAGGTGGCCAAGAAAGACGAGTCTTTCTCCTGGTGGGCAGCTGGCCAGCTTCCTCCCAGCTCGGAGCCAAGCATGTCTTAGTGAGGAACTCCCCAGATGAGAAGGCCTTTCAAGAGCATTTCTCCAAAAGCTAGCCAGAAACCGGGGCTTCCAAAGCCTGAAGTTGAACCTCCAGTATGCGAAGCTAGGAAATGAAGGGATGCCACACTGCCCTCTAGTGACAACTAGGCTTGGCCCTTTCCTTCAGCTTTTCCTCTTTCCTTGTTCCCGGCACCAGACGAGGCCTCTTTCCCATCAAACTGGAGCTCCCTCTGGTGGCCTAGGAGTCAACTCTTCTCTCCACCTGTGGACATTGTCTTCAGATGCAGCAAGTAGAAACACACTCAGTATCCAGATGATCTCACCTCAACTGCCCTTTTGTCCCACTGATGAACCTGCTGTTTAGTGTTCTCAACAACTGGCACCTGGATAGACAGATTAGCCATTAAATTGACCTTCCGACTGATCGATCCTGATGGATCCTGAGTGACCAGCTGATTAGCCGATTAAGTTTCTAAACCACAAATCACTTGATTGACATACTGGCTTTCTAACTGTCCTACTTACTAATCCTAAATAACTAAACATTTGATAAGCTTGAACTGCCTGCCTGGCTGACTCTTCTTCTAACCAGCTGAATGACTGACTGCCCAGAAGCGGACCTGCAAGATTGACAGCCTGGTTCCATAACTAAGGGTTACGGATGGACAGGAGGACAAAGTGCCCTTTTCTCACACCCTGATTCCTCTGCCTGCTTGGAGCCCTACTCTTCTCCTCTCGAGAGCCACCTGAAGACTGTAGAGTGTCGAACCAGGAAACTGACCTTCTGATCTACTTCTAGTGAGGTTCTTAACCAAAGCCCCGCAGATAGGTTGCAATTTAGTTTCAAAGTAGTGTGAATATTAAGATGTGTGGTTATCTGGGAAGAGGGTTCACAGCTTTCATTGGATTGTTAAAAGACTCTAGCATACACAGATATTTCCAGAACCACTGCTCTGGGAAGACCCTCAGCAAACACATTCAGATATGCAAAATCCTTACCTGGATTCAAGTCCCATTTCTCTCTTCCATCAGGGCAAGGTAGCAGGAAAGTGACTAGGAAGAGTTAGAGTTATAATGGATGTGGATATAGTACGAAAGATAAAAGCTGAGCTGTATGTGAAGTTCCCAGAAAGAGACCCAGAGAAATCAACATATGTCCTTTGGGGAGGCCACATTTAGCCCAAGATGGCAGGGCATCCTCAGGTCTGGGCAGAGGCTTTTAGAGCTGAGGTGATAGATACATTTAGCAGGCCCTTGCCTGGGGCAGGGAGTGAGTATGTAATCATGAGGAGCTATTTGGCATTGTGTATTTATTTATCAGTGTGCTCACAAGGGTGGGCGTAACTGAGAGTTGTATGGCTCTGCATGAATGTCCTTTGGGTCAAATTGTGCATCTGAATAGTTTTGTGAATGGATTTGCACATGTGCTCACTCATTGACCCCCTCAAGTCTTTTGGGAGGTTGAGACATAAGAATTTCACTAGGTAAAAATATCCGCAGACATGACAGCCGACCACACCAGAAATCTGGACATCCTCAACATCTCCCTCTCCCTGTGCGCTCGTCATCACACAGCCACTGCCACTACTGGCTCTCATCACATCTCCCAGGATTAGTGCTTGGTCCCCAATGTCCTTCCCTTGCTAACCTTCTAAATCGCAGCCACAGTGACCTTAATAAAATGAGGTTAGGGTCACAGCACGCCCCTGCCTGAAACCGACAACAGCTTTTACACTGTCAGGAAATAAGGCCCATCTCTTCCGTCTGCCTCAAGGGCCCTTTCAAGGTCATAGCCCTGCTCACTGGGGATTCTGGGGTCTCAAGGCCCCATAATTTGGACTCATCGCCTCTCGGCCTGGTCCTATGCCACAGCCTAAGATTTCGGTTCTGAGGCCTTTCCTACCAGCCTTTACCGCGCTGTCCTTCTGTCCTGCATCTTGGCAGCTATCATATGCCGCTGTAATTACCCAATTACAATTAGCAATTGAAACAGTTATTGTTTCAAAATGCCTGGACTCGAGAAAGTATAATTGAAAGAGCACCCAAGTCCGTCTGTCACGTTCCACCCCACTGGACAGGGAGCCTGAAGGGCCGACAGTGGGAGGCCGGCAGTGCACGGATGAACACGTCTTTTCTCCCACATCGCGGAGCAACAGAAGCTGTGACGTGAAACGGAAATGCGCGTGCGCAAAGTGAACAGTAGGAACTACGGCTCCCAGAATCCTTTCGCCCGAGACTTCATTTCCCAGAAAGCTTCTGGAGTCCCCACCCCGGAACTGTGCTCTTCTTTTTTTTAAAGCGGAAAGTGGGACAAAAGCGTCAGTAAAGGCGGTTTCTGAAGGGGTAGAATGGTGAGAGGTGTTGCGAAGTGTTTACTTCCAGGGGTCGTCCTTGAATCAGAGAAACCCGGACTTCGGAGGGAAAGGACCTGGCTGCAGCCTTTCCACACTTTGCAGTGTTCCGGTTCCCTCCGCCCGTTCCAGAGCCCCCCACCCCCAGCCTTGCAGTCCCTCGGCCTGCAGCCGCTGCAAACGCTCTGCCCACCTCCGGGCGTCTGGAGGCAGACCTGTAGCTAGATTGCCTCGGGGCCCCTTGTTCCCATCCCTGCATTGCCTGTCTTCCACTGGGAAGAAGAAGTAAAGGCCTTGGCCCTAAAGACATAACCCACAGGGCTCCATGTGCGTGTCCCACAGCCCTTATGCTACTTCCAGCAATGGCTGCAGGAACCAAAGCTGTGGGTAGCGGAGATGGGTGTGGACAATAGCAGAGAGGCAGAGGATCTATGGTTCCTGACTTGCCACCTCTTTCACCACATATTTCAAAATGCTTGGATTCGAGAAAGTCAGCCTTCTTCCTCAGACCCCAGCAACACCTGAGGCCCCACGGCCTGTTTTCACCTTTCCTCCTGAGGCCGCTTTGATCACCCACCTAGAAATGGGAGCAGCTGGTGGGATTGGGATTTGAGACTGGAGCCTTTGAAGGGAAAGAATGGACTAAAAGGGAATTGCAGGACATTTGGGGACTAAAAGTTACTGAATTAAAATACGGTTAGGGTGCAGGGCTGAGAGAGAATGAGATCTATCATCATTGCGTATCTGGAAAGAAATATATATATATCTCTAAGGCAAATGAACACATTTTTCAGAAGTATTATAGAACTCATAGTAATTTAGTTTTTTCTTAACAGTCTGAAGTAAACACTTGCCCATCAGCCTGGGGAGCTACAAACACTTCCCCCCACCGACTACTAGTAATTCTATGCCGCTCAATGTTGCCACATTCCTCTGCTAGCTGTGGAGGTCCTAGAGACCCTTTTGGGGAATCTGCAAGGTCAAAACGGTTTCACAGCAACACTAAGATTTATTTGCATTTTTAACTATTGACATTTAAATTTAAAATAGTGTGTAAAACTGCTAGCATCTTGGCATGAATCAAGGCAGTGGCATCAAGCTATATTTACAGTTACTGTATTTTGCTCCGATGCTCTTGGACAGGAGGGGGAGGCAGTTTCACTTAAGAATATCCTTAACGAAGATGTAAAAAAATATATATTCATTTTACTCGATTTTGAACCTTGAGGATATATATATAAATATATATATATTTTATGTTGTGTGTGACAAAATAAGACGTATATATAAAGCAAGTCTGCTGAATACCAGGGTACAGTGTTTGTCTTGAGAAAAAGTGTTGAGAAAGGCAGTCACGTGTGCATAGTTTTTCAACCCCTATATACGTTCACATAAGTATATGCCTTGTGCCAGAACATTTTCTTAACAAAGAGATAAATAACTCTCACAGCCTGTGCTGGGCATCTCACTTTGTTTGGGAATATCTTTCCCTGTTCTGGACTTGATGTGTACTTCTTTGTTCTGCTAAAGTGTGTGTGTCATATGGCACCTGCCCAGCCCTACTGCTATATCTGTTCCTGGCAGGGAGGGAATGGGATCCTTTGCTTGCAGCACAAGAAGAGGGCATGCAGACTGCGCATGCTGGCCATGAAGGATACTTACTATTGAAACTAATCCTTCTCTTTCTCTTCTCTATGTGAGTAAGGCATTGTTCCATCCAGTGCCTGTGTGAGTCCTATTTTTCTTGGCAACTCCATCACGTGCAAACCGTGGAGTGTGTTGACATCCTGGGACTGCTGTTGCTGGTGGCAGGTATTGTTACGCTATTTGCTATCCTCCAGACAGTGAGACTCTTTTCCTGGAAGTAGTAATAGGTGTCACTTGCTCAACCAAAAGCAAGTCTGTGCTTGTTTATTTGCTAGTAATTTGAACTAGACTCTTCCAAAAAACACCTCTTTTACTTGAATGACTGACAGCATGATTATTTGGACTTGGGTGTTTGGTAGACATTTTCTACAAAATGAACAAAGTGAGCTTGCTACTTCAAGGGAAACAATTGACATTACTTATTGCCAATGATAAAATTTAGTCTTTTAAGCAAAAATTAGGATTTTGAAAAACGTATCTGCCATATATCTTGATAGTTTCCCAATGCTTAAAAAATTCTTCTGATGAACTTGGTGGTGATATTAGCAAATGTGATATTTTTCTTCTATTGAACACTGTGTCAACATTTGGAATATTTGCATAACTCAGTATATTAGATATCTGTTGTTGCAGAACAAATTACTCCAAAATGTAGTGATTTAAAACAACAAACATTTATTATCTCACAGTTTCTGTGGGTCACGAATTTGGGAGTGGCTTATGCAGATGGTTCTGACTTAGAGTTTCTCCTGCATTTGCATCAAGATTTCTGTTGAGGCTGCAGTCATCTGAAGGCTTGACTAGAGCTAGAGCATCTGCTTCCCAGAGTCACACTCACATGGCTGTTGGCAGGAAGCCTCAGTTCCTCACCACATGGACCTCTCCACAAGGCTTTGAGTATCCTCACCACATGGCAGCTAGCTTCCCTTAGAGCAAATGATCCAAGAGAAAGAGAGCAAGATAGAAGCCCCAATGTTTTTTATACCCTTAAATACCCTCAGAAGTCACATCTGTAATTTCCACCACATTCTATTCATTAGAAGTGAGTCCTCTGTATGGTCCACACTCAAGGAGAGGGAAACTAAGCTCTGCCTCTTAAAGGGAGGAGGAGTACCAAACAATATGTGGACATAGTTTAATAACACTACACTAGTGAACTAGTATTTTCCAAGTGATCTGCATGAAATTACAACATTCTGATACATGGATTAAAAAGTCTATTCCAATTGCAAAGTAGTGGATTTTTATTGTAACAGAGTTTGAAAAGTTCATTGACGTAGTTTTAGATTGTACATTGCTACTAACTTTAAGAAGCTATCATTTATTGCATTTGAGGATAATATCAAAAGAGAGTATACATAATATCTAAAAAGACTATTAAAATATTTTCCTCATTTCCAACTACATCTCCCTGTGAGGCCAATTTCTTATCATGTACTTCAACCAAAATAACATTAGAACAGACTGGAATACAGAAGCAGATATGAGAATCCAGCTGTATCCTATTGAGCCAGACAGAGATTTGCAAAAATGTAAAACAGGTTCTTCTCACAACTTTTTTTTCCTTTGAGAAAATATATTTTTCTTAAACATTGGTGTGTTAACATGTATTGGATTTATTATTGTAATTTTAAAATGAATTAAATATTGTTAAATTTTCTGTTTTAATTTCTAATATGGTAATTATTGCTAGATATAACCCATATAAACAAAAGCTCTGTGGAGTCCTCAATTTTTAAGAGTGTACAGGGGTCCTGAGACCTATTTATCTCTTACATATTAAATTATTTGGGTGTGAAATATTTTATAACAAAAAATTGAAAGAACATGTGGAAGAGAAGATTCTACTTTCTTTATGTAAGCATTATGTCTGTTTTGCAGCACACATATCCGGTATGTGGGCCTGTATTGTTTGGCTCTAAAGAATTTTGTGCACATTCACAGCTCTCTGAGTCTGTGTCTACAACATATTTATGATATATGACTTGTAACCTGAGAGTCCCCAGACCTCAGGCAATCTCACCACATTCACAAGGCTACCAGTTCAAGTCATACAAAGTCCCTTATAAAAAGACCGTCTGTGCTTCTGGCTTAGTCCTTGTCTCCCCTTGGGTCAGGCAGGACATCACCGTCTATCATACATCACATCGTCTGCCAGGTTCTCTTCACCTAACCCCCTTATAAGAGTACATGTCTACTGGGGTTGCCAGCCCACCAGTTCTGCAAAGTGCCACACTCTAAGTCCATTTTAGACCCCTTTTAGGAACTTGGATGAGCACCTTCTAGATGAAACGCACAAGAGGTACAAAGGCAGTCTCACTACACTGTTGAGTGAGCGGACTGTGTGGTCACCTCGTGTAATTCCGGAATCTCTCAGTCTCACTGAAGGGTCTGAGGCTAAGCTTCTGGGTTTCTCCTACCCCTCCTCTTAATGTAACTTTCTCAAAAATTCATAAATAGAGTAGCAAAATTAGAGAATTAAATAATCCAATTAACAAGTTGGAGGGGCAACCTGAACAAAATCTGGGTTTTTCTTTCATGGATGAAGGGAGAATGACTCAACTGGGTAGGCAGAGAAAACATCTGCTACAATTGTGTGTATGTGTGTATAATTTTAAATCTTTCCACAATAAAATATATTGCTCGTGTGATTAAAAAGAAAAGTAATGAATATGAGGGGAAAATGGACTATAAAACTAAGAAATACATTCATACTTTGAGCTATTTGAGACCATACAATGCTGGTAAAGGAAGAATACCCATTTGCTCAAATTCACTGATCAATGTACCATATTTACTTCTTTTACCTATTTTTAAAATTTACAGCAATTCATACTGCATAGAATTCTTTTAATAACTTTTTAACATTTCTGCGAAATTTTATTTAGCCAATATTCTATTATATGTTTAACAGCATTTTAAGGAATGTTCAGTCTGTCAGCTCAGTTAGTGAGAAGACAAGGGTCATCGAGTAGAAAATATTTGTGATATATAAAATTTAAAAAGTCTAATAATATATAAAAGTCCAAATATATAAATCTATAAAAAAAGGCAACCCAACTGAAAAATGAACAAAGAATATGAACAGACAATTCACAGAATCAGAAATACAATTATCCAAAAAACATGTATGACAAGATTTTCAACATTACTAGTTATTGAGAAAACAAAAGGGCAGTTAAGATGTTTATTTTCACAAAACATAGTATCATCTAGCTTGAATTGTATTGGTGGAGGTGTTTCTGAGATCAAGCCCGATCATAGAATTCTATGTTGATGTGAGTGTAAGCTGGTACAGCATTTTTGATAGGCCTTTGGGCTGTATTTATCATTAAAATGCCTGCATTCTCTCTGAGGTAGTGGGAGGGTTGCGGAAGGGTGGGTGGGGCTGGGAGGAGATTGACATAATGGAAGGGGCTAAAGAATGGGAGTTTGTACTCCATGGAGAGATCTGTGGGATGGAGGATAATGTAGAACTAGGGTTAATAAAGAAAAGGGGAAAGGGACAAAGGCTTGGAGGAACCAAGAGATGCTTGAAAGGATTGGAGGATGTGAAAACAAGTGGTAGTGGGAGGATCGACAGGGATTAGAAACCATTGAAGAAACTGTTGAGAAGGACAGGAAAGGAAGGGGTGGGACTGGCAGGGACTATATAGCTAAAATGGAAACAACTGCCTTTCAATGAATTGACCCAGAGCCACGGGCAAACAGGACCTGTTAACACTGAGTAAGGCCACTGTGAAGGAATGAGGTTTGTTAGCAAACAGGAAACAGTAACTTTCAAAGTGCTGCTAACTGTGCCTTGCAGAATTCTTTTACTTCCTCTAGCCTTGGCTCTGTTATTTCATTGTAGTTTGCTTGTAAAAGCAACCTGAGATCTTTGACTACTCCTTAGTCTGAAGCCTCTGATGGCCAATGATTTTTATCTTTCCCATTTTAACCTAAGGCGCAAAATATGTAGACACTTCAGCAGCCTCTAGTAGAAACCTTCTTTGTCACTCTGAAAACTCAAGAAGATGCCCTGGGTGATGCAGGAAGAAATCAAGGAAGAAATCCTGGGAGGCCGATGAAAAGAGGCTCTCTCTGCAATAGAGTGCAGGTGTGCATAAGGGGTGCCAGATCCCAAGACTTCCACTTCTCTCTTGGTTTGAGGCAGGAGTTCTTTTAGGAAGTAGAGGGCCTTATGGTCACTGGCTTTCTCTGTGGTTCATGCCTCTTTCCACACAGTGAATAACAGGGCAACCAGACAGCAAGAATCTGCAGAAGGAGGCTGTTGGCCTGAATTATGTCCCTCCAAATTCATATACTGAAGCCCTAACACCCAGTAGTTTAAAATATGACTATATTTAGAGATAGGATTTTTAAAGAAGTAATTAAGTTAAAATGAGGCCCTAATCCAATCTGACTGGTCTCTCTGAAAGAGTGAATTTGAACAACAAAAAAACATACACTAAGGATGTGTACACACAAAAAGCCATGTGAGGACACAGCAAGAGGGCAGCCATCTGGAGGCCTCAGAGGACACCAACCTTTGATCTGGGACACAGAGCCTCCAGAACTGCGAGGAAATTAATTTCTGTTGTTTAAACCACCCAGTCTGTGGTATTTTGTTATGGCAGCCCTAGCAAACTTAATACAAGGCCTTCAGGTCTGATGGTTTAGGGACCTGGGAAAATAAAAATTCATTTGAGTCCTCTTGGAAACTATTTGGAAGTGCTTCCTTTGAGTGTAGAAGAAGTCCCTGCTGCACCCCCATACACATTTTTACTTTTCGTTTAGGAAATTTGGAGCTTGCTCTTACACTGCCCTAAAACTTCTCAGGTTGAGCCAGTTATCAGTCATTAGTTGCTAAAGAGAAATAGAGATGTCTAGCCAATCAGGCCAAGTCTCTCTTTGAGCAGAGTTCAGTTGCCATGTCTTCTAACTCTGCTCAAACATTTAGTCCTTGGCTTAGTAGGTTCAAAAACTTTTTCCAGTTCAGGCTCAAATGAGTGGTTTTCATACTAGTTCTAAAAATTAAATAGAGTTTTAGTTTAACAATGAGAGCTATATTAGTGAAGAAAACTGAGCTATTCATGGTAGACTGGTCCTAAATAACCTTTTCCCATTAAGAAGAGTTAAGTAGAGACCAAAAAAAAAAAAAAAATTCTACCATGGAAAAACCCTTGTTCTTTAGAACTCAACAGAAATGTTACTTCCTTGGAAATGCTTTCCTAAACCATCCTGGGAAGCATGGGGTTGCCCTTGCTCTAAGGTCCCAAGGAAGCTGTCAGAAATCCCAACTTGTAGTATTTTAATTAGTTGTTCAAAGGCTTGCATTTCCCATTAAACTGTGAGCTCCAAGAGGAAAGAGATTGTGTCTTGTCTAGATATCTTCAATGATATCTAGACCACAGTGTGTACTCAAAAAACCAAACAAACAAAAAACTAGGAGAATGAAAGAATGAATTATATTATGGTACCACATGTCTCTTGTATGGGATCTGCCTTCCAAATGGACCGGAAGACCAGTCAGTCATCTCCCCACCTGCACAGTATTGGAGACAATGATAAAACACATTCCTCCTCAGCTTTTCCTTCCCCCATCTCTTCAGTGATGCTCACCCTTCCACAAGTAGTTTTTTGTCCTATACCTTTTTGTTTTGCTTGAATTTCCAAGTGGTCTTTTTCCTGATTTTATTTGCAAAGAGACCCTTTACTCTCACCGCTAAA